ATATATTCTTGTAAGTTTTAGGGGGTTTATGTGGTTTTGTTTAGCAAGGCCTTCCCAATCTGTGGAAAGCCATTCTTTGTGAGCTGAGGAGAGGGGACAGAGGAGGTGGCCCAAGAGCTGGCAGCACTCTGGTGCCACAAAAGGCATGTGGCTGCTTGCCTTTTTTGACAAAAGCATCTCAAGAGGGGAAGGAGAAAGGTGTATTGAACAGGCTCAAAGAGTAAAACGATGACAGGATTGTACCTTGTGTACTATAGTGGGTGCAGAGCATCAGGAGGGAAGGACAGCCCAAGAAGGTGGTCATCTAGACATTAAGTGATGGTGGTGAGGGGCGGTGTTTGGTTTCTTTGGGTTTTTTGTTTGTGTTTTGGGGTTGTTTTTTCTGAAGTCAGGTTGAACAGAAAAGTTGCATTAGGCAAGATCTGGTCTTGTGGCTGCCAGTTGTGAATTGTCCTGCCACCCACACATTTGTTGCATCTGTCTTCCGAGATCAGCTGGGTTTGGTTACATATATTGACCGTATGTGTCTTCTGCTATACGAGCAGGAAGGTAGGTACACTGGAGCTGACACTCAACTTTAGAACCTACTTCTTGTTGTTTTAGTAGTCCCTTAGAGAGATTAATTGATACTCTTTTGAAATGGTTGTTTCACACTGTCGTCTTGCAGGAAAACAGGGGGTTTTGGGAGTTGATTTACAATGCTACCTCCTCTTTCACAGACTGACTGCTATTCAGAGGGGTTTGTTTATTCTATGTAATTTTCCTGAGTTCACAGCTTCACTCTAGTAAATGTGTGTAAGTGGCAGGTTACAAGAAAAATCTCAAGAAACTGCAGATGCTTGACTTCTGGAACTGAATATCTTCTTATGAACTAGTTCATGTGTAACACTTAGTAAGTGTGTGGTCAGTAAACTTCTGAATGACTCTGAATAAAGCCAGAATGAATCCTGGTTTTAATGTTGGAGGATGCAGCCTTTTTGCCAATGCCAGGCTTGGAAACTCTGTAAGCCTGTGAATGCTCTGAATTGAGAAACTGTTTCTCAGAAACTCATGGGTTTGGGTTTTGGCTTTTTTAAGCAAGAAAAGCTACTTCTTGAAAATGGGGAAAGGGGGATTCTTGTTGCTATGGGGTCAGTGGGTAGTTGCCCTTTAAAGGGTGACAAACATGGGTTGTGGTTGATTCGTGATGTTCCAGTGTAGTTTTGCAGCTCTTCCTTCTGCTTGGCGGGACTGCTGAAGCACTTCATCCACCACAGGAAAAGTAAAATAACCCTGTGATCTTAAGCAGGACTTGTGTACTGACCCTTTACTCGCTGCCCACCTGGAGGTCAAAGGGTACTAGGCAGAAAAGGGAATGCTGTGCAGAAGTGTAGTAAGAGAAAGATCCTACTGAGGGTGAACCAGCTAATGAAACTGGTGCCAGGAACCTGAATTTCAGTCACTTGAACACTGTTAGCTCTACTTGTAATCAGGCACTAACTGTCCTTGGGTTCGAAATCATCCTTAGGACCTAACTGATCTAATTCCTGTGCAAATAATAGGCCTTATTATGGCAAACGACTGCCTCGTTTCTGAGATGAACTGCACCTCATTTAATATTAAAATAACATGGAGAGATTATAGATAGTATAAGGCAAGGTCAATCTAGTTCATCATCCTGACTCTGATAGCGGGCAGGGGAAAGAGAGGAGCACAGGGCAAGCATCCTGGTATTTCTCCAAAACCAACTCCCACCTCCTGGCAGAGCCTCTAGAGATAGAGCCTACCTATAGAGATATACACATAGGGGCTTCTTTGGGCTGAGAAATCGGCAGAACTGACCCTTTGTCATGCAACCTCACTTGTGACAAATTAGCACTTTAAAAATGTCTGAAAATTTCTGACTGGCTCTAATAATGATTAATGAGGATTTCATGAGGAGAGATGAAAAGGGAGAAAGAAAAAGACTTGCTCCACACATTCCCTGCTATCATAAAAGGCAGCAGAGTATTTCAAGAATGATATTCTCTTTTAAAGTAATGGTGTGTTGAATGTGGAACTGGAAGGCAATATTAATTGAGGGTAGATGGGTTAAGGACATACAGAAGAGAGTGGAGGCCTATTGTGATGGCCAGACGTAGGGTAAAGCATGAGAAGAACCAGAACAGGACAGAGAAGGCTGTGAGAGAGCAGAACTGGGGAAAGATAAACGCCTGGGTCCTCCTGCAACACTGAAGGTGTATGGAAAGGTTCCAAACAGGTTCAAAAGCCCAGGTGGGATGGGACCCCCGAGACTATCCAGTCCCCTCCTGAAAGTCTGCTCCTCTTTTTGTCACCCTTTTGTCACTCCTCTTGGTAAACAGGAGGAGGAGAGGGATTTGGAAGGACGAAGGGTGACTAACGGAAAGGACATTAGGGGTGAGGAGAGCAACTAATTAAAGTCTAATGGAGTGCAAACAACAGTGAGGGAAACCAGAGTAACAAATCTGTTGAAGGGCTAAATCCCAGAGGAAGGATCCCAAATTACTTTTGAGAGGGGAGACTGGTTTGGAGAGAAAACCATTCTCTGAAGTTAGGAAGTAACACAGTTAGAAGGAAAATGTTATATGATGGATAAATAAAGTGCATAGAATTGCATCTGTTATGTACGGGTAGATGTCACTTTCCATTTAAATGGAAATCGAGAATTATTTTTTTTAGATGTATTTTGGTACCACAGACAGGGAAATTTTAATGGAGGAGTATTTGTGGTTATCAGCAATGATGTTTTGTTTTTCATATGGCCATTGTTATACAAGTATCAGCTTTGCATATTAAAGCTAAAGTGCTTTCCTCTGGCACTTTCTTGTTTCAGAAGTTCACATTACCAAACGCTCATTTTTAGGATGTGGCTGGTATCTTTCTGCGTGATCTGAGAAAAGCTGAGTTGAAGGATCTACTACGTGAATTAAGAGAGGGTACAGCAATGAGGAGAGCGTATCTCCTCAGCTTGTTTTTCCCCTTCAAAGCATGAATAGGGAAGAGGCAAATTCCTAAAACACAGGACTCTGAGGACAGGGGAGCCATCTTAGAGAGTTTTTCCCCAAGTCAAACCTATAATAAATATGTGTTTAACTTAAACAGCAAAAAACTTAATTTGTTTTTTCACATTGAGAGGCAGTCATTAAGGTCACACATCTATTTCGGTTATGTATGTATTTTATGTACTTAGCTTTATAGGAAATGCTGGTCTTGCCACAATTGAATCACCTGACATCTGAAAATCAGCTGGGATCTCTCACTTCTGTAATAATAGGTAACATAACTGTGGTCTGAAAACAGTCCTACTACAGTTGTTTGATAGCGTAATTAACTGTGTGGTTAGATAGTAAGTACCCTTACTACTATTGTTGGTTAGATAGTAAGTACCCTTACTACTATTGTATGAATTAATCTCCTTTTAAAAAAATATAAGTTCAGTCTTCTAAGTGGTTTAATAAAGACATAGCCTTAGTAACTTTAAAAAAAAATTCTCAGGTTGGTAGTGTTAAATTTCTGGGGGGAAAAAAAAATATGATTCTTGCTTTATGTACTTGTGCCTTTTTTATACAGGCTTGAATGCTTTAGGGTAAGCAAGTAATCTCTTGATGTGCCTCAAAACTGTTAGCTGTTTTGTTTCTCCATGGTAACAGGAGTGTAAAGCAGTGTGAGCATGTTAGTGAAGTAGGCAGACATGAGATTGTTCAGGAATGGGATTACATGTGAGGGCTGTAGCTCTGGGGTGATTCTGAATGAGGGCATCTGTAACACGGAGATGCTGTGAATGTGTGCAGATGTGCTAACTTAAGGCAAGGCTTAGGGATCCAAAACTGTCCTAAAATGATCTATCATCAGTCTACAAAGTTTGCAGCAGTGGGAGGGATTATCAGACATCAGGTCGATGAAGCTCTTCCAGAAACATGGCTCAACATGTGAAGAGGCCTGTGCCAGATCAAGGTCTAAACATAGGGCTCTGTCTGAGGTTCAGACACAATTCAAGTCATAAAGCCTTAATGATATATTTTTCAGTTTAAATTTTTTTACATCCAAAAAAAGAACATGGAGTTTGGACAGGCAGATGACATCTAAATTAATGCAGAGTTGTCTGAAAGCTTCAGTCAGTAATGTTGCGATATTAACTAGGTGAACCCTGTTTACTTTTGTTCTCACCTTGGCAGAACAGTACATATCAAGAGTACCTCAGCAAGGTAGCTAAGATTGTCCGTTTCTTCATGAAAGAGCTAAGGTAGTGATTTCTATCAGCACAGCTTGATCACACACTGACCTCTCCCTGGCACTGATGCACTCTTATCCTTTTCTTGCCCTGCTGAGATGACTCTGACCTACTAGACTGAGATACAATCTAATAACTTGCATTTATAGTAAGGGAAAGGTTCTGGCAACCTTTTTCTCATCTGTGCATATTGCATGAGGGATTTCTCCCTGTCTGTTCCAACAAGCCGTTGTGCAGTGACTGGTTGAGCTAACCTTGCCGAGTGAGTCATGTTTCTTCCGAATGGATCCAGCCTGACTGAGGACAGAGCGGTGTGTACTTGCTTAAAAGAGCCCTTTTCTCACGTAGTTAAAACCTGGTGATTTCATTGTCTCTCCTCCCTTCCTCTCGGTGCAGGTAAAGGTAATCTGTTCTGGTTCGGAAGGCCACACGACCTGTACCAAAACAAAGCTGCTTCATGCCAAACACCTTCCCTTCAGCAGGAGTTTGTACCGAGGTTCTAGTTGTTTGATTTGCCTTTTGTTGTGTTTTTGTTTTTTTTTTTTTTTTTCCTGCAAGTGAAAATTAGCTTTTTTACCCAGGCTTCCTAAGGCTTGTAGATCAGTGCTGCCTTTGTGTTACATGAAACCCTCTCTGCTGTTTGTGCTCAAGTAACTTTTCACCAAATTGGAAAAATTCAACCACTATGCGACTTGGTGGCTGAGGAGAGACCTGAAGTCGTGCTGTGCAGAGGGAAAGGGAGGGAAAACTGAGCAGTTCTGGTTAGCTGATGGGCTGCGTGCCAAGCTCCAGGGTAGTGCTTCTTGTCCGGTGGCGAGCTGATGCACTTGGGAAAAGCTTTGTCAGCCCCGCGGCTTTGTTAGCCCCGGCCTGGTTAGCGAAGGATCGCGTCTGCACACGCCTCGGTGCTGTGGCCGGGGAAGTGACGGGTAAATGGCTCCGCTTCTGTCCTTATGTAACTGCCTCGGCGAGGTTGTGTCGGGGGAGCTATTTCGAGCAGCGGCGTTCGCTTCAAACCCTTTATGCAATGAGCTCCGCGGCCTGGGCCCGCGCCCGGCAGCGAGGGG